ACGCCGATGACCAAAAGAAAACTTGTCACATTTTACATAATTAGCTATAGGATAAGGAGTACCTGAGGAGCTGACCGAGGAGGTAGACAACGGGGATGGGCTCGAAGTGTGAATGTAATTCGTGACAAAATCCCGAAGCAATATAGACGGGCGTTTAGAACGCAGTCCGCGGCCAAGAATAGAAGTATCTGAAGGTGCAGTAGTATGGGGAACCACGATCGGGATATGAGAAGCTGGAGGATCATGAGTAGCAAGCGGAACATAATCTGGTTCCAAAACAGCGGGAGCAGTAGGCAGTGGGATATGCTCGGTTATGTTATTTTCCGAGGATGTAGGAACCCGTTCCAGAAATGGGAAGACATCCTCATGAAAAATAACATCACGAGACACAAAAAATTCACCCGTATTCCAATCTAGTACTTTCCACCCCTTTTTCCCATTCGGATAACCCATAAATACACAACGCCGACTTCGAGGGAAAAATTTATTTTCACGCGAGTGTATATTATGAGCAAAACAGAGACAACCAAGAACACGCAAATGGGAAAAATCAGGGGAAACACCATTAAGAAGCTCGTAAGGAGTCTTTCCATCCAATATACCAGACGGAGTGCGATTTATCACATGTACAGCAGCTAGCACGCACTCACCCCAGAACCGGATGGGAAGATGAGCTTGAAACATCAATGCCCGTGCCACATTTAGAATATGACGATGTTTGCGTTCTACCCGCCCATTCTGCTGAGGTGTATGAACACAAGATGTTTGAAACAGAATGCTGTGGGTGTCAAAATATGGGATCATGCATTTAAATTCAGTCCCGTTATCACTACGCACAATTTTGACAGATAGGGCATATTGTTTTTCAACCATAGCAATAAATGATAAGAAAAATGAATGCACCTCCTTTTTATCTCGTAATAAATAGACCCAAGCTGCCCGGGAAAAATCATCCGCAAGTGTAAGAAAGTAGATTGCATCACATGTAGACGGGGTTTTATAAGGACCCCATAAATCACAATGTATAAGTTCAAGTATTCGACTAGCTTTATTAATATTACTAGGAAAAGAATCACGGACTTGCTTTGCCTGCGGGCAGACTTCACAAGGTTTATTCAACTTCTTTGGTGAAGAACTAGACAAAACTGCAGGTAATAACTTCAGAACTCTGTCAGAAGGGTGGCCCAGACGGCGATGCCACAACTCAAATGCTGATACTTCTGCGGATGCCTGAACATGATGCAAGACCGGTACCCGTTTGAAGTAAAAGAGCCCATCCTGTCGTTCACCGGCTCCAATCGGGTCCCTCGAGGACAGGTCCTGTATAGCACAAAATTGATTAGTAAATGTGACAAGACAATTAGTTTGATCCATCAATTGAGATACAGAGATAAGATGACATCAAAGCCCCGGTACATAAAGAAGATTAGCAAGAACAAAGTTTGGAGCCAAAATAACTCGGCCAGACACAACCGCATCCACCCTACGGCCATCTGGCAGACCCACCGGCCATGGAGAAATAGTACCGGGGTTCATGAGGCAAGAAGCTTCTCCTGTAACGTGATGTGATGCACCGGTGTCAATAATCCACTCAAGGGTAGAAGACATACCCGACATTCGGTCAGATGAGCGGGTATCGGTATTAAGTAAATTGAGGAGCGCCTGCACCTGTTCATTAGTGAAGGTAGCCGAGCTAGAACCAGTCCCCAGATTGGACGAGGAAGGAGTATCGGAGGTCGGCAGTAGGGTCGCTGCTATGGCGTTCATGCGAACCCCCCCTTCACGGCCAGACGAAGCACCCTTGCTGCGATTGTGATCCTCCCACCAATCCGGATATCCATGAAGTTTGAAACACGCCCCAACTTTTTTTTTTATCCCGGAAGGCAAACCACCAAAATCAGTGGGGCAAATGCCAGGAGTCAGATGCCGTTATTTTATTGAAAAAGAAAGAAATACAAAAGAGAGGGGGACCAAACCAATACCTCTCTATAGAGGTATTCCCCTGAGAATTACAGAAGACAAAGATCAAACAGACCCCAACCATATGTCGCCCCAACTTCATGACCTTTCTGTTTGCAATGACTGCACGTCGGCCTTGGACGATCTGATTTTTCTGAGCGAGGCTTGGCAGTGCAGTCCATCGGCAGAGCAAAAGCGTGAACATCGGCTGCTCCAGTTTTCTCACGTATAGCTGCCCTAGACGTCTCCTCCTGAACAAACACCTGAAGAGCACGATCAACATCGGGCAGAGGATTCTGCGAGAGGAGATTCGAACGCACAGTGCCATATAATTCGTCATCAATCCCTACAAGGAATTGATGAAATCGTTCATCAGCACGCTCGGCCTCAATCTTCCCGACGATATTACACGTACAATGTGTACACGTACAAACCGGCAAAGGTTTCAACCGATACAATTCGTCGTAAAGCCCCATTAGCGTCGTGTAGTACATATCAACGCTCATGGTTTTAGTTTGTTTGCAAGCAGAAATCGACGCTTTGAGTTGTTGTAAACGAGGGTCGTTGGCGATGCTAAATCGTTTCTCCAAGTAAACCCACAAGGTCCGAGCATCTTTGTGGAACGGCACCGAATTGACCACGGATGATTCCATGCTTCGGAATAGCCACGACACCACCATAGAGTTGGTGGTGTCCCAATCGGACTGTCTGGCCGCCTCCTCCGGCCGTTTAAGCGTGCCATCGACGAACACTTGCTTCCGCCGAGCCTTCAAGGACAACAAAATAGCACGAGACCACGCCACATAATTATCGCCTTTGAAAATTACATGGGTGATAAGGTTACCCGGTTGATCTCCGGGGCCAAGATAGTAAGGAGAAGTAGGTTCCACCATGGTTGCCGGTCGCTAATGCACGCGGGTACTTAGTAAAGCGGCAGAACACGATGAAGAAAAAAAACGAGGACTTACCAGTCCGAGTTCTCTGATACCATGCTAAAGTGATATCACACGTACGAATGGAAAATAGGGTTATTCCCTTCTTGTTTATTCAATGAAGCGTATATCAGTATTTATACAAGCTAATTACACTTAATTAGGGTTAAACAATATCTAAGCCCATAGTAAAATATCTACAGCCCATTTACACGTGTATATACACGACCTAACAGAATGTGTTCTCACTGCCGCCCACCTTATTAATCGGACCCCTTCTGCAGTGCTTCAACATAGAGCTCCCTTTGAAATACTCTAAGGAAAGCCCCCTGATTATGATACTCTTTGGGTCTTTGCGTGTCTATATTTTGCTTATAATCTTCGTTCTGCTAGGGATAAATTTTTAAGCCGGAGTAGAAACGTGTTTGTTGGGTATTCTTTTGGGAAGAAAGGATGGCGTGTCTTTGATCTTGAAACTCAGGAGTACTTCATCTCCAGAGATGTCACATCACGGGTTATTGTCCCAGAGGAATCCATGTCATTTCCGCCTCTGGACACCTGGGAATATCCCTCTGCTTCTCCGGCTCTTGCTCCCAGTACTAGAACACTCGCTGGGGACCCTGATTCATTTCCTCCTGTGGATCCTTGTTATGGCACACACACAGACACATCTTCGGATCTAGGACCTTCATCTCCTGATTTGGGTTGTGGGAAACGCCTCAAGCTCCCATCCGTCCTATTACGAGACTATGAGACCCATACAGTTATGCTTGATAGTCCATTCACCGTTACATCATCTTCAACGGTCGGCTCATGTACATCGTTCCCTATGGCTCATTGTATTAGTTGTGATAAATAAATACGGAATTGATAGGGATTTTAGCAGGGTTTTTTGCAGGGATTATACAAAATCCGTGCCAGAAACACTTTAAATCGAGTCATTTGTAATGAAAAGTCGATAATTCGTGCCAAATTTCGTGTCAATCCCGTATTTTTTTTGTAGTGACTATCGTTAAATTACTATAATAAAAAGGATGGTAAAAATATCGGTCCATCCTAATATACCGTCCTATCTAGATTGGTGTCATTACTTCTAAAAAGATTATTAGTCAGATCACTTTTAAAAGTTAAATTTTTGTAAATTGTTGTATCCATTTTTAATAAGAATTAAAAAGAAAAATGGTCAAAATGATACATGAATTTGTTTTGACGGTGTAAGTAGTACTTCATCTTTGTATTGAAATTTTAAAATACATGAACTTGTATTTTTATAGTCTATCAACTACATATGCTCTGTGAGAACGTTAAAATAGCTTATAATCTGGTCAAACTATTGGTTTGTATTATACAGTTGCAGTCCAAGTCATCAAATAATTAATTTATAAACTCTATTTTCTCTCGTCCACTCGTTTTCACCTTTGCTCATCATCTTATATTTTTTCGTCTTCTCTCACTTCTCTCCGCTCTACATCTTATATTTCTCCTGTCTGCTCTCCTTGCTATTTTGTCGGCTTTTGTTTGCTCTATTTTATTTTCTTCTTCTCTTACTATAGTAAAGATGGACCGATAACAAATTAAAAAAGAAGCAAGCAGAATAGCATGGTGAGCAGCCGAGAGAGACGGAGAGCAGCAACGACAGAGCTAGATGGGGGTCAACCTAGTTCCTGCGGCTGCTCCAATCCAAATTTAAAAAATGCTTTAATTTTAAAATATTTTTTTTGTAATTTTGTTTCAAAAATATTCTTTATATTGGTCCAGTCCGGCCTAGTGCCCTGGTTCGGCCCTTGGAAAGCAGACGAGAGAAATATAAGATGAAGAGCGCAGTGAATGGAGAACAAACATGAGAAATATAAGATGCAGAACGAAGGTGGAAACGAGATGGACCGGGGGAAACTATAGTTTATAGATTATATTTGATGACTTGGATTGCAACGACATATTACAAACTGATAATTTGACCAAATTTTAATGTTCTAAGAGAGAAAATGTACTTAATTGACTTCAAAAAAACATCAAAGTTTAAGATAAGTACTAGTACTTCCCACTGGAAACAGCTTTCATTTTGACCATTTTCTTCAATTTTCTTCAATTAAAAGCCTCGCCATATAGACTCAAAAAAAAAAAGCCTCGCCATATCTACTCTTCATCAAGTCTACTACTGCTCGCGCTAACAAGCAACAACATCTCAGCTTCCCTCTATCTGTGGCTTTCTTGCCGAAGTAATAAAGAGACGTTTCTATTTGGATGAGCAATCACACAATTCATCCCGAAGCTTCAAGACTCTGTTTTCGAAACAGTGAAAAATGGCTATTAAAAACAGGAGCATTATTTGTTTCCTGTGCGCGGCGTCGGCGGCGCTGCTTTTCGCCGCTCCGTCTGAGTCGGCGATAGGAGTGAACTGGGGTACCCTTTCCCTGCACAAGCTGCCGCCGCCGACGGTTGTGGATCTCCTCAAGTACAACGGTATTCGGAAGGTGAAACTGTTCGAAGCGGATCCGGATGTGCTCAGGGCGTTAATGGGCAGTGGGATTGAGGTCATGGTTGGAATCCCCAACGAGCTCCTTTCCCTCATTGCATCTTCTTCATCCGCAGCTGATTTGTGGGTTTCCCAGAATGTGACCAGATACATGGTTAAAGGGGGTGTTAATATCAAGTATGACTTTCTCCGTCCCTTGCCTGTCACCTGTTTCATTTCATCTAGGTTCTGTGAGGAAAGTTCTAGTTATATGTACAAAGCATTTTGAAGCCCATTTCCCTCCAAACTCTCTAGCTCGGGATCACTACTTAGTTGAAGTTTGAGCTTTCAGATTAGGAATAGCAATATTGAATTTCACAAACCCCAACTGCCACAGCTGGTATGCAAAAAACTAAATTTCTGTTTGCATTAATGTAATCCCTATTTTTAATGAATATGCTTAAAGACTCTTAATGTAATTGATGAACTTCCAATTTCTACATAGATAACTTGAAGAAAATGGATGCATGTTCTGGGGATATCCGGCTAACATTGATAATAGCATTGAAAAATATTAAACTATTACCAGCTGAATGAAGATCTTCCTGCAGATGTGGTTTAGGAGCATTAATTTGCTTTGTATGGTTTACACGGTTGTGACAAACATGAAGATTATAAAATATCTAAAGTGAAATACATGATGGAACTAGTTCTGGAGTATGAGTCAGTGAGTTCCATCTGAAAGAGTAGGCATTGTGAATTGGAGACACAAGTTCAATTAATCTTTCTAAAATATGAAAGTTATCTTCTGAGTAAATAAGAAGAAAATTCAAGGAATATTGACATTTCAGTACCCAGGTGTAGAATCTGATTAAAGTTCCGCTTCTCATATTATGGAGTGCCATTAATATCTTGTATAGATTTGTACTGCATATTTCAATCACTTGTTATTATAGCTTCACAATACTATAATGCCGGGCTACTGGTCTATACCATCTAAATTATTACCAGCACTTTCAGTGCCCATAATTAGAACAGTCAACAGTGTATCTATTTATCAAATATCAACAAGATTTTCTACCAAAATTTAACTTATTTGGTTGTGCTGGCTAAGTCCACTGATACTTGGCAAGAGTTTTACTTATTTGTATGAAGTGACTGAAGTTGACGAAAAATGTGCTTGCCTTTTTTTAGATGTTATTTTCTACCATTTATGTGATAATATATTTATAAAGCATTTCTTTAGATAGAGGTAAAAATATAGTCCAACCACAGTTTTAGTAACTTCATCTAACACAACATTTGGTATGGCTTTGACATCACAAGCCTTTTACAGTTTACTTCTAATGCAACGGCTTATCTCCAGTTATTCATTAATTTTTATTGGTTTCCATCTCTTTAGTCCTTCCTTTCCCAATCTCATATCGCTCTTATTTATTTTTTTGGCTCTGACTACCAACTTGTGATAACAGGTATGTTGCAGTTGGGAACGAACCTTTCCTCACAAGTTACTCTGGTCAATACCAATCTGACGTCCTTCCTGCTCTATCAAACATACAACAATCTCTAGTCAAAACAAATCTTGCAGGGTCCATAAAGCTGGTTGTACCATGCAACGCTGATGCCTATGAGTCTCCTTCTGTACCATCACAAGGTACCTTCCGACCCGAACTGACCCAAATAATGACCCAACTTGTTTCTTTCCTAAACTCAATCGGTTCGCCATTCATGGTCAACATATACCCATTCCTCAGCCTCTATGGAAACTCGGACTTCCCACAAGACTATGCCTTTTTCGAAGGAACGACCCATCAAGTGGTGGACGGTCCGAACGTATACTTTAACGCGTTTGATGGAAACTTTGATACTTTAGTGTCAGCCCTCTCCAAAATCGGGTACAGTCAGATGCCTATTGTCATAGGAGAGGTAGGTTGGCCCACGGACGGAGCCGTCAGTGCCAACATAACTGCTGCAAGAGCTTTCAACCAAGGGCTAGTGAACCATGTACTTAGAAACCAAGGGACCCCTCTTAGGCCTGGGGCCCCTCCCATGGATGTTTACCTTTTTAGCCTCCTCGATGAGGACGGGAAAAGCATTCTTCCCGGAAACTTCGAGAGACACTGGGGATTGTTCTCTTTCGACGGGCAGGCAAAGTATAAACTGAACCTTGGAAACGGTTTGCTGAGGAACGCCAAAGAAGTAAGTTACCTTCCATCCAGGTGGTGTGTGGCGAAACCAGATAGAGACTTTTCAATGGTGGATAACCACTTTAGGACCGCGTGTAGCTTTGCGGATTGCACGACCCTGGACTACGGCGGGTCCTGCAATGGCATTGGGCCAAAGGGAAACGTGTCTTATGCATTTAACAGTTACTATCAGTTGCAAAAACAGAATCCGGGGAGCTGTGATTTTGATGGGCTTGGGATGGTCACTTTCTTGGATCCTTCTATTGGTGAGTGCCGGTTTCTTGTTGGAGTCACAGATGGAAAATCTTCAGGTCTGAACTTGCATAGAAGTTGGGTAATAACCGCATTGATGACGTTTGGGTGTTTCTTGTTTTCTGTGACTACCATATGATTGGGGGGGTCCATCTTTCCAGGATCCTGAAATAGGAAAGATACTGCACAGTTGATAGTAGTTAGAAGTGAGGTCCGGGTTAGTTTGTAAAAGCTTATATTTATTGTTCATGTATCGAATGGACTAGATTAGTTGATATTTATGGTCTGATGATGTACACAAGCTGGACTATAGCATGCAAGTAAATTCATGTAGAATTATGTAATCCAAGATCAATGCGCATGCATATTAGCTCAATATGCATGCATATTTGTCTTTTATTCTGAAGAATTATACGTTCAAGACCCCGGTAGCTAGGCCTGACCTGGTCTCGACCAGAACTGAAACGGGCCTGGCAAGTATATCCCTCTGACCATAAGCCCTATGATGGTCCCGTTCCTACCAGGACTATAGGGTGAGTCCCAACAATTTTTTTTCTTTTTTCTTTTTACATTCTTTACCTAGTCCCTAGAGCTAGGAAGGGGATTCTGATAAGAATCCTCGCACATACAATAAAAGGAATTCACAAATCACAATCTTATTCCACAAGAAAACAGTATACAAAGGTAAACCGTGTAAAGGCCAAAGTGGAGATAATACTCCTACTCCCCAATCCCAATCCAAATGACCAAAAGCCTGCCAACCTACTGCAGGAACTCTTATTTATACCCTTCCCTAAAGGAAGGCGGTTATTAGTTGCTTAACAGACTTAACTAATAACCGAGCTAGTCTATTTAGGCCTTCTCTTGTACACACGCCCATATCTACTCCCTTTATCTAGACTAGCACCCACATCCCTATCAATACCCCCTTCTTGGAGAATCAACTTGTCCCCAAGTTGAAATTCAGGGAATTGGTTTTGGATTGTTTACAATTCCTCCCATGAGTCCTCATAATCCGGAAGATCTTCCTAATGGATTAGTACTTCCTGCTTCCCTTCCTGATTAAGTCTGCTACCCTTCACAGCTTCAGGTCTCACTTGTAACTCACACTCTTCGGTGAGACAATGTGGGAGATTCTGAGATGCCACAGTAGGCTTCAGCACCTTCTTAAGCAATGATATGTGAAATACAGGGTGTATTCTGCTCCCTTCCGGTAATTTCAGTTTGAAAGCAACTGAATTCAGTTTTTCCACCACCTCATAAGGCCCATAATATCTCGGACTGAGCTTCTGATTAATTTTTTTAGCAAGAGATTTCATCTTGTAAGGTTGAATCTTCAAGAACACCATGTCCCCAACTTCCAGTTTCACCTCTCTTCTATGCTTGTCTGCCTGTTGCTTCATCAGGTTTTGAGCCTTGGCCAAATTCTCTTTCAATTCAGTCAACATAGAATTCCTTTCTGCTGTCAATCTAGCCACCTCTTCTACTGCAGTCAAGCTGACATCTCCTCTAATGATAGGAGGAGATTCCTGCCCAAACAAAGCTTGGTATGGTGTACCTCTGAGTGAACTGTGGTAATTAGTGTTGAACCAGTACTCTGCCCATGGAAGCCATTTCACCCACTGTCTTGGCTTCTTCCCAGTTACACATCTCAGGTAAGTCTCCAGACATCTATTTACAATTTCAGTCTGCCCATCGCTTTGAGGATGATAGGCAGTGTTATATTTAAGTTGAGTACCAGCCAACCTGAATAACTCTGCCCAAAAAGAACTAAGGAAAAGGCTATCTCTATCACTGACAATGGATTTAGGAAATCCATGAATCTTGATCACTTCTTGTACAAAAACTTCTGCCACTCCTTTGGCATTGAATGGGTGAGCCAAAGGTATGAAGTGAGCAAATTTCGTCAGTCTATCCACCACTACTAAAATAGTATCTTTCCCTTGAGATTTAGGTAAGCCACCTATGAAGTCCATACTAATGTCAGCCCAAATGTGTTGTGGAATAGGTAGAGGCTGCAGCAACCCTGCCGGTTTAAGAGCCTGGTATTTATTCCTTTGGCATACTTCACACCCTAAAATGTAATCCTTGATATCCTTCCTCATTCCTGCCCAGTAGAATAGGCTAGCAATCCTCTTCAGGGTCCTGAAATAGCCTGAATGACCCCCTACTGCAGAGTCATGGTACTCTTTGAGTATGCTCTTCACCCTGTTGGACCCTTTTGGTAACATCATCTTCCCTCTATAATATAGAATACCTCCCCTTATTCTATAATCTGGATACTTATCAGGCTGCCTGAAAATCTTCTGGATTAATTCTCCGCATAGAGCATCTTTCAGTAATTCATCTTCCAATCCCTCCCATTCTTGGCAAGTTACACTAGATAAGGCTGAATATATAGATTTTCTGGAAAGGGCATCAGCTGCCTTGTTCTCAATTCCTGGCTTGTAAACTATAGTGAAATTGTACCCCATTAGTTTGGCAATCCATTTTTGTTGATTTTCTCCCATCACCCTTTGTTCAGTCAAGTATTTCAAGCTTTTCTGGTCTGTATGGATCTCAAATCTTCTCCCCAATAAGTAAGGCCTCCACTTTTGTATAGCAAACACAATGGCCATTAGTTCCTTTTCATAGACTGACTTGACCAAATGTTTAGGAGCTAATTCTTTACTCATATACGCCAGGGGACCACCATCTTGCATAAGAACAGCTCCTAATCCTCTTCCCGAGGCATCTGTTTCCACCACAAATATCTTATTAAAGTCTGGAACCCTTAGAACAGGTACAGAAATCATGGCAGTCTTCAATTCTTCAAAAGCCCTTTCAGCATTGGCATCCCACTTGAACCCATCCTTCCTTAGTAATAAAGTTAGGGGGGCAGCAATATGACTGTACCCCTTAACAAATCTCCGGTAGTATCCTGTTAGACCTAGGAACCCCCTCAGTTCCTTTAGATCCTTAGGAACTGGCCATTTACTCATAGCTTCTATTTTACTGGGGTCTGCAGCCACCCCTTCTTCAGAAATAATATGACCCAAATAGGTCAATTGCTGCTTACCAATGGAGCACTTTTTTTGGTTCACCACCAATTGATTCTTCTTTAATACTTCCAGAACCCTCCTCAGATGTTGCTCATGTTCAATTTTGGTTTTGCTATAGATTAGAATGTCATCAAAGAAAACCAAAGAAAATTTCCTCAGAAAGGGCCTCAATACTTCATTCATCAATGCTTGGAATGTAGCAGGTGCATTAGTCAGCCCAAAGGGCATGACTAGATATTCATAGTGACCTTCATGTGTTCTGAAAGCCGTTTTATGTGAATCACTAGCCTTCATCCTTATTTGGTGGTACCCAGACTTAAGATCCAACTTAGAAAAAATTCTGGCCCCTCCCAGTTCATCCAATAGTTCTTCTATCACAGGAATGGGAAATTTATTAGGTATAGTAACCTTGTTCAGTGCCCTATAGTCCCCACAGAATCTCCAACCCCCATCTTTTTTTCTGGCCAGTAAAACAGGGCTACTATAGGGACTGTTACTATGTCTAATAATTCCTGACTTAAGCATTTCATCAATGATCCTTTCTATCTCATTTTTTTGGTCATAAGTATACCTATAAGGTCTGAGATTAGGGATACTTGCACCTTCTTTAATGTTGATTGCATGATCACAGTCTCTTTCAGGTGGAAACTTCAAAATGGGTGAGAAAACCTCAGGAAACTCAGCTATGACACCCTGCCAGGCCTCCCCATCTTCTTCCTTTTGTTCCAGTCCCTTCAAGTGTCCTTCAAAGCATAAAAGATAACCATCTCCAGTTTGTTGCAGTATGTTGATCATGGATTTCAATGGTACCTCCATTTGATTCAAAGCTGTACTTCCTTTTATACAGTGAATTTCATCTTGGCATCTCCATTTCAAAACCTGTTGTCTGAAATTAACCTCCATATCTCCCAACCCAGCCAACCAATCCATTCCCAAAACTATGTCAGTGCCTCCCAGATCTAGCACATAGTAAGTCTGTCTCAGTTCATTGCCCTGAATTGCCAATCTCACCTTGTCACACTTCCCAATATTAGGTATACATTCCCCATTGCCTATCTGCACTTTGTAACCTTGAATAGGGTTGTAAGGTAAACTCAACCTCTCCACCAGCTTCTGAGATATAAAGTTGTGGGTTGCACCGGAGTCTATCAGCACATTCACCACCTGTTTCCCATTGTGCCAGTCGATATAGCCCTTTACCTTAAAGGTATTCATAGCAGGTATGCCCTCCTTGCTCAGAATTGTCAGCTGCATTGTTCTATTCTCCATTATAATAGGTTGTTCCTTCTCAGAATCCTCATTCTCAACATCAGAAGCTTCTTCTCCTTCAGAATGTTCTACCAAAACCATCTTATAATTTCTCATTTTACAGACATGTCCCTTTCCCCAGAGATCCCCACACTTAAAACATAGCCCTCTCCTGCTTCTATCCAGTAATTCTTCTTGTGACAATCTGGGCCCACTTTTTCTCACTTCAGGTAGTTTCATTTCCTCCTTACTCTTACTATCAGTGTTGGTTCTGACCCCTACCAGAGATGTAGAAGGTTGACTCTTCCATCTATTTCCGTCTCCCCAGATCTGAGACTGAATCAAGTTAGAACTCTTAACTTGTCCCCTTTTTCTTCCATCCTCTTCACTCTTCATGATACTGACTTCAATATTTTTATTATCAATCAATGTAGCTGTGTTCATGACTGCCGCCAGAGTTCTGGCAGAATATAATTTCAACTCTGCTTGTATGTCACGCTTCAATCCATTCACAAAAGCTCCTCTCAACACCTCTTCAGTTAAGTGACCTTGCGAGGCCATAGCTATCTCAAACTTGTCCCTGTACTCTGTAACGGAACCTGTCTGTTTTAAACTGAACAAAGGTCCAAGAGAGTTCTCCACCAACTCCGGTTGAAATCGAAGAGTTAGATCCTTCGTCAGTTGCGCCCAGGTCAGATGTTGTGATTGACCTTCCCACCACTGGAACCAGCTCAAAGCTTGGTCCTCCATGGCCATAACAGCTACATCAATCTTCTCCTCATCATCCGTTCTGTTCAAACGAAAGTAGCAGTTCATCCTAACAAGCCAACCGAAAGCGTCCTGTCCGTTGAAAAGCGGTAAGTCGATCTTCCTTCCTATCGGATGCTGGTTCCGATAATTCCGACGATGATCGCGGTTTCGGTTTGAAACTGAAAGATGATCGGATCCTTCTGAGCTGTCTTCCTCTCTCGGATGCCGGCGATGATAAGAGGTACGATGAGATGTCGAAGAGTGATGTGAATTACTCCTCGAGTGTCCCGAATGGCGAGGTTGCAAGGCCGCGATACTAGCTTGCAAAACCGCGACATTTGCAGCCAAGCTTCTCTCCAAATTCATCTGCAACTCCCGCATC